GTCCCCTCCCACCGCGGGGTGGCCCGGAGGTCCTCCAGGGCAGGCACAGGCAGCCTGCTCCTGCCCGGGCTGACCACCTGGCCGAGAGCACCTGTGGCTGAGGCAGGACCGGGGCTTCCCTGCAGGGTCCCCGGGGCAGTGCCCAAGCCCGGCGCTCACCAAGGACCCCGCGGAGATGACGGCGAAAGCGACGGGGAAGGAGCTTGCTCTTTCCTTACCTCCTTGCTGAGAAGCCGGGAGGATGGAGAAGAGGAGGAGGACGCCGGGAAAGAGGGGTGCAGCTGGCTGCCTTGCCATCTCTTGAAGCAATGCCCCCGTGCGCTCGCGCTCAGTGTGTTTTATCCCAGAGCTGCTTAATTGTTGCTTCCAAGGATGCGAGGGGAAGAGGGGGGGCTGGAAGGAGGGAGGGGAAAGCGAGGGAGAGAAGTGGGGAGAGAGAGGCACAGGACACTACGTCATGACGAAAGGGCAAGCACACGAGCCTCTCCAGGCTATTGGGCTGTGGTTTCCCCCCCACCTCTTTTTTTTTTTTTTAATTTTTTTCCTTCTCCCCAGCGCCGGTGCTTCTCTGCCAAAAGGAGCGGCGTAGCTGCCAAGACAGCCTCCAGCGGGAGGAAAGGGGAGGGCTGAGCTACGCGTACCATAATGGCCGGGCCGTACATCGCACCTCGGGTGGTCACTGGGTGCCCCGGCGGGACAGGGGACAGGGGGACACTGAGCTGGGCCCTCGCTGCTGAATGGGCACTCTGGGTGGTCAGGAGTCCCATGGTCTCTGGAGAGGTGACTTGGGTGTCAAGTGAGGACTGGTTTCCAAAAACCAGGCAGAGGGCAGAGCCGGAGCTGTCCCAGCCCCTGCAGATGTGAAGTTGGAGATGTGGGGGGAAAGCAACATTAGTGGTGGCACAAACGCTGTCCCAGGAGGGCTCCCCAGCACTGCAACAGAGTCTTTGAGCTTCCTCTGTCTCCTCTCCCTTGCAGCCATTAATGTTATTCGTGTAGGACATCCTACACCTGGGGCACACAGCCCTGTCCTGACTTGGGCAGCAGTCCGGCCGTCCAGGACGGATGTGCGACAGGTCGGACACATCCCAGAGCAGCCGGCAGCTCATCCCCCGCTGTCCGTTAGGTGGCAGGCGTGAGGAGGACAAAGGCGAGAGTTTTGCAGGAAAACGCGCTGCGTGCGCTCAAGGCGTCCGAGCCCCCTCTGTGGCCCCGAGGTGTCCTGGGGACACGGCGCGCTGCACCGGCCACCGCGTCCTGCCATCCTGCCCCGCGCTGGCCGCGTGCTCACGCCAGGGGCTTGCTCGCCCGTGTGACGCTCACCATGCACAAGAACCCGGTCGCTCCTGTGTAGGACGGTGTTTGCATCGCTCCCAGCCCGAGTTCGTCCCGGGCCAGTGCTCCTATCCCATCGCCCTCCCTGCGCCTCAGCCTGTGGCTCTGCCAAACTCGGGGCATGACCCCCTTTCCACTGCTCACTTCTAGACTGATGCAAACTCAGGAGAAGTCCATGTGGGCACTGCATCCCCCTCCTCATGGGGCCTCTCTGGACAGGCGGGATGCAGCTCGTCCCAGCGCAGCGCCCGGGGAACCCCTTGCAGCCCGTGGTGCTCAGCATGAACACGCACAGGAGGCAGCTCACATAGTCCCCACTGCAGCCCCTAGTGCCCCACAGCATCCGTTCTTCTTCCCCTGGGGCTGGGGAAATTGGCAGCCTCAAGCAGAGCAAATCATCGGCCAATTCACCAAGTTTCCGCTTCTCCTGCAAGCCAAGAGAAGCCCCAAACCTGGACACCTACTTAGAGAAGTGTTAGCTCAATCTTTGTTCAGCAGAGTCCCTCCAGGGCCTGGCCACCTGGATTCTCTCACCTCCCACTCTATTGCAGGAAAGTGCTGATTGCTGCAGCCCCAAGACATCAGTATGGGGGGAACTGCAGAGTGTTTTATCCTCTGTACTTGCACTTTGGCCATGTCTGGGATGGGGGGACCCTTGCAGAGCTGCCAGGACCACGGGTCCTTGACGGGGTTTGCACAGATTTGTTTTTTTTTTTGGTTTCACCTGCTCTTCTTCACTCCGTGGTGAAAGGCTGTGGCCAGCAAGGAGCACCCTGCATTTTTGGGAGGGGGGGGTTGCATCAGCAGGGGGCAGAGCAGGCTGGTTGGCCCGACCGTGCACCGGGCTCTCGTTGCCGAATTACGTAATGTTTGAGCGAAAACACACGCGGCTGTTAAACGCGAGCTCGCTCAGGAACGAGTGGACGCAGTGGAGGACGAGCACCCAGCGCTTCCACAGCGATCCCCAACGGTTCAGTGGTGGCAGGGATGGGGAGCCCGAGCAGTGCCGGACACTGCATCCTGGGCACTTGGAGCTGTAAAACATGCGGCGAGCAGGGCCAGCAGAGTGGCCACGCTAGGAACTGTAACCCGGGCGGTTAGACCCGTCCAGCAGCATCCATCTCTTGCCAGTGGAGCGGTTCTGATTTTTGAAAGCATGTTTTGTACCTAGAAAGAATAGATGCGAGGCAAGATTCCTCCGCCCCTGGCAGTGACACTGGGGACTGCAATCCAAGCGCTCTGCAATTCGGCCAGGGCAGAGCCACGCGTTTCGCGAGCCGCCCGCAGGGAAGGGCTGGGAGCATTCGCTTGAGCTTGCAAAGTGTTGGGGAAAAGCTGTGCAATTTGGCCAGCGCCAGGAAGGCACAGCTACGGCTACGGTCTAAGGGGAAGAGAAAAGG